CATTGTACAGGTCCCTGGTTAGGCCACATTTTGAATACTGTGTTCAATCTTGGGCTCCTTACCTTAGAAAGGACATTGAATTGTTGGAAAAGGTTCAGAGAAGGGTTACTAGAATGGTGCCTGAGAAGTATACGAATGAAAAGGGCTGGGTTTAAAATTTTGTATTTTATTTTTTAAATCATTTTAATTTAGTTTTGAGGATTGAACAGCCGAGATGAACCAATAGCTCCCATGTTGTCCAAAAATATTATGTTATGTTATATTTATGAACAAGTCTTAATAAACAAAGATATTTTAAAAAGGATATGAATCAACCAGAATGACCAAATTACATTGGTTTCATAACTAGCACAATGTTGTTGTTTTTATAAGTTACTTCTACTGAAAAATTATGACCTTTTTTAAACTAACTTTCAGACTCACTATATATATAAAAGTTACAATCTTTCATAAACCATCTTCACTTTTAGCCAATCAAGTTATGCTCTCAAACAAAGTTTCTTCAATCTTTATAAATCATGTCAGGTTGGATTAGATTAAGAAATAATAACATGAGTTAGTTTCTGGTGGTCACATGTCATCCTGAAAACTTTCACAATAGCATTTTTGTAGGTTCAAAACAATAAAGGTGTTATAATGGAGAGCCTACAGTGGGGATATATCCAATTATGTACAAGCTGTTGTGGTGCGAACAAACTAAAGGTCTTAAATGGAGAGCCTACAGTAGGGATATATCCAATTATGTACAAGATATTGTTCTGTCAACAAATTAAAGATCTTAAATGGGGGGAAACAAAATTTTAAACCAAAAAACCTAAAACCCAATACACTCTCTATTACATTTTCACAGACAATAATGTTGCAGTGTGCCACTGATTTAGTGTTATTGTTAAAATATAAGTTTAGAAAAAAAAACATGATACCAAATTTTAGCAGAGTTGCTAATACAGGATCCATTATTTTTGTTCACTATTAACATAAAATAATGCTCTTAAAACAATAATTTTATATCTTAAATGTCAGCAAAATTCAATACAACTGATACGTTGCCTTTTCATAAAAGGTTCAGTTTCAACAAATAAATGGTACTTTAACAACAATTATATGACACTTCTTAAATAAATTACAGAAGATTTTATAATTCTAGAATTATCATTTTCTCTTAATGCATAACACATAATAATAATTTTTTAAAATAATGTAAGTAAATTTACAGCTCAAAATTTTCTAATTTAAAAATTTGTTTACCCAAGGTTTCTTTCTGGAAGACCAACAATGCATTTTTTTTAAATGTCTTATCCACGAGTTAGAGAGTACATAATGATCAATTATGAATAATCCTTAAATGTACAAGGTACATGTACACAAAGTTAAACAGAACAAACAAAAATAATTGGTGTAAACAGGACCTACATGTTGCAAAAACATGCACAGGTGTAAAAGAAACAAACTAAAGAAACTGAAAACCAAACCAAACATATAATTAGGATAGGAAACGTTTTGTATTAACAAGTTTTGAAAGCATGCAAGATAGACTGTGTTATGGTATCCCTGTCAAGAAATTATAAGTCATACAACTCTAAAGCATAAAAAACTTAACTTAAATGCTTACATTTTGGCACAAACTAATTTAAATTTTTACCAGTATCAAACACTATAAGTACTGTACTCAGTGCTCAAGCCTAATTTTTCTCATGTTGTTTCTAGCTTGTGGCTCTTTCCCCTTGCTATAGATGCAGAATATGGTGAAGCTTAGATTAAGCTTTTCTTTTACATGTCTTTTCTTGTTCCTAATTACATCAAAGGCTTCACACACAAACCAACCATAGTGCTATTTTATAATTAAGGTAACTTATTTTTTGGAAGGAGTAAAGGTTCTTTAATCTAATAAAAAATACAATAGCAGAAAATACATTTCATTCTGGTCTTTAAAAGTAGCAAAAATACTGAGTACATTGTATTTTACATACATATGAACTATATAAATACAAAATACTTGCATGTACGTTATTCAAAAACACTGTAAAAAATATATCCTAACTGTTTTAAATAACATGGTTTAATCTCTTTCTTACAAACTACATCCATACGGAATAAAAATGTATTTTAATGTTTCTTTCCTATTATTTAGGCATATCTTAATAAAGTAAATTTAGAGACTTCAATATTTTTTTTTGTATCCCGTATGATAGTACAAAATCACTACTGTTTTACATGCACAATACTTATTTCATGCTTCTTCAATGCTACAACAGTACAGAAGAAATTTTTAACTTTTCATGAAAACAGAAAGGGAACAAAATCTACTTGATTCACACATACTACAAGAAAACCTCAAACTCTAACTTAACTCAAAAAAATTCTAGTGTTTTGTTTGTTACAACATACAACCAATAACTCAGGAAGCAATGGCTCACATGCCAAAAATGTGCAGGAATATAATTCACTCATGTCGTTCAGACTGTACAATATAACTAACATGTTACAACAAGAAAACCTCAAACTCTAACTTAACTCAAAAAAATTCTAGTGTTTTGTTTGTTACAACATACAACCAATAACTCAGGAAGCAATGGCTCACATGCAAAAAATGTGCAGGAATATAATTCACTCATGTCGTTCAGACTGTACAATATAACTAACATGTTACAACATACAACCAATAACTCGAGTGCCCTAACCACCTGGCCATGCCGGGCGAGAAGGAAGAGAGCTCATACATACAACTCACATTAAAATAATACAAGAAAAAGCTTGTACATATCTATTATTCCATGCACGAATACAGATAGCTCACTCATTTGAATTCAAGGCTGTATTATTTATATGAATGACAGTTCTTCTGATGTTGAAAAAACTATTACTTTTTTTCCAGCATAATTTTTTCATCAGAAAATAAGAGAGATTTCAACTTATACCTGTTACTACTTACATATTTATCAAACACACATGATACCTCCAAAACTCAGGGCTTGTCCTGACTGTAAAGTATGGACACTTTTTACATGTGAAAGTACAAGCATCTTATAACTTAACTACATACTATCCTGGAAAATTGGTCAATTTGCAGAAATAAAAAATCACAACACAGAAAAAAAGAAGTGCATTCCAATTTGGAAAATATATAGAAATGAAGTAAAAAAATCTAAGACATTAAAACAAATCAAATAATAATCCAATACTGGATAATGCATGCCCTGATACTAAATCATAACTACTGTGCATTTCAAATGCCAAACCACAACAACTACAATAGAATACATAATTCAATTCTAACTCTTGTTATACTAGTGTAATCTTTAACTATTGTGTGTTTCAATCTTCTCGACTAACAATATACAAATTCATCAATATCACACACGTGTGTGTGTGTGCATTTGTACATACATATATACACAGTTGTGTAGTAATAGGTTGGGCAACTACCCAAGAGCCCAGGGTCCTCTCAAAACTAGTATTTGAAATTGTTAATATTAGAATTGAAGCAAAAATGTGTATATGGGAGCAGGCACAAAAATATTATTCCGGGACTCTTGGAAACCTAGCTATACCACTGCATATATATATATATATATGCATATAAAACAGTTTTTATGACTAATTTTAAGTGGCTGATGACTATCTCAAAATCCCAACACATTTCAGTACATATGTTGTTTGTGAAAATATTTTTTCTGTCAAATTCAATACTCTGTATTCCTTTCACTGAAAAATCTAAATTAATTTTTGCACAATATGTATTTTATTCCTTTTGCATTTATCATTACATGAGTAGACTGATATACAATGAAAGGCCCATATTGTGTTTTTCAGTATATGATTGAATATTACAAAGTAGAACTGATAACATCAGTTTGTTATATACAATAGGCTTTTTTCAATTCATAAGTTACTTTGTATTTCCACTCTCTGTAGTTAGCTTACACATTATGGTTCACATGGCAAAAAAAAGGTGGTGAAACATTAAAAACCAAAATGTTAAAATCATGTAAACTGAAGATGTTTTTTGTTCTCCACATTCCTCTTGTCTGCTTTACAATTGGAAAAAAAGAGAAATGAAGAGGAACGTTGAGAAAACAAAAACATCTGCAGTTCAAACGGTTTTTATCACAACCATCAGGCTTAATAGTTAGCTCACTTACTTTTGATCAAAGTTATTAATAATTCATTAAACCTTAGGCTAACATGAACTCTCAAAACTTGTTGAGAAGTTTTATTATTTAAGGGAATTCAAGGTTATTTGTATCAATTTTGCACACCTATAAAAATTAATATTAATACATTTTCAAATTCTGAAAGCTACTCATTACTTCACAACTCATTTTCGAAATCATTTAAATAAAAATCCCTATATTTAATTAAACTTGGTCTTATTTATGGTTTCTAAAACTTTTCCACTACTTCTGAGTTGATAAATTTAGCTTATCTTTTTCAGTTTCTGTAGACTGATTTTTACAAGTTCTACTTCTATTAATTTAATGTAATTGGATTATTTTTTTAACTTATTCCTATTTTTACAAGGCATAATTATTAAATCACATTTATAATATAATTCAATACTATCACACAATTTTATTTTTGGCTTGAATAAAAAGTTTAAGCTCTTGATTTTTTTTATCATAATATTACTAATTATTTTGCAATCTTTATGAAGCAAAATTAACTTCTTCTTAAATATATTAAGTACACTTTTTTTCCCTTTTGTAAGCTTTAAGAAACCAGCACAAAGTTGTCTAACTAATAAGCTAAAAGTCACAGGACTGAGAAAAGGTTTTTAGCAAAATAGTTTGATAAAATGCACGCGAAACATCTGAATGTAAATTTTTTTGAACGGAAAATGTTTGACTAATAAAATAAAATTTACCTGGTATGATCCTCTATCCCTACTACAGCTCTCTTAGTTAATCCTTTAAATCAACCATTAGAACCTCCCTAAGTAACAGTAGAATCAGGTACAGACTAAGTTCAACATATTTTTATTAATTTTCTTTTATTCAGAAATAACCGTATTATAGACAAAGCACCTTTATAATAACTTACTTATATTCACCGGTGGTTTAATAAATAATTATGGTCAGCTTACTCCAGACATTGGCACAATAGGCTTGGCAGTTCCAAATATTAAAAAGAAAGAGCAGAAGATAATGTTTAAGCATGCTGTAAAGTTAAACACCATTTTCCAACTTTGGAAGATCTCTAAAATGTATCCAGTAATGTAAACTCCCAAGAAACCTAAAACAAAAAATATACTTTATATAATAATAATAACAAAAGGAAGAATAAGAATTTTTGATGTGTAAATGCCATTTGGTTGAAGCAATGACTATACATTTCTTTTTCCTTTACATTAACTATAACCATTTCTTAACTTGTGTTTCCAGAGATTATGGTGCTATAGCTGAAATTGTTGGTTATACACGATGTAATATATTTTCAAGTAATTCAAAATGTTTCCTTAAGATTTATTTATTTCATTGAATTAATCTTCAATACCAAACAAAAAATTTATAAATGTTAAATTCTCAAGGCACAGAAATATTTAATTCACCTACCAGGTATGGCTCCCATTGTGTTCATCATTCCTAAAACAAAACATAAAAAACTGTTGAATCTGTATTCAGTTATAAAAAACATATTAGTTTTGTTTTAATATTTGAAATGTTTTGCTAATGTGCATAAATACTTTCTTCTCAAAATACTAAAATCCATGAGATTCTCACTCTATGATTTGTACACATTGGAGATCAGAAGCATATACAGTGATCGAACACCTTATTAAGACCAAACATGTATGTTAATAACATGATAAATACTGGAAATAACATGCATGTACTGACTCAAAACCTTATTAAGATCCCACTTGTATGCAGCTTACTTTGTATATATTGGAAATTATGAGCATATTTCCTGACTGACACCTTATTAAGACCCCATATGTATATGACTAGTTTTGTACATATATACTGATCGAAAACCGTGATAAAACCATACATGCACGTGACTAGCACTGCATTTATTTTTATATACAAAATAAAGAGATCAGGTGATGCATCAGGCAAAAGCTGTAGCATTGTTTTACATATGCAGAAATGTAGTCATAAGATGGTTAGTCTACAAGGCAGCATGTAACAACAAAGTCTTTCCAGCTTTTAAAGAGCATGTTAATGGCCACCTATGTAACAAAAACATCACTGTAAAATATCATTTCTTTGACTGGCTGTTCCAAGACATCTGTCATTGGTTTATCAGGAGTAGCAATAAAAATAGAATGCATCTGCCATTGGAAAAAAACATTGACAGTCAACTGTCGGTTGCTAATTGAGAGGGGGGGGGGAGACTGATCAGTCTTATAAAGTGAAAAATATGTCAGTTTATGCCCCAATCAACCTATCTTTTCAATAATGGTCAGAACTGAATTATCCACAACATTAAAATTACAAAAACTATCATAATACAATGCTAGAAACAGACTATACCACATGTAAACAAGAAAACACAGTTTCAGAGGTGTTTTAAGAACAATCTACAGACAATATATAACCAGAAGCACATAATAAGTCATAAATACATGGCTAAAACACATTACTCTCTAGCTACAGAACTGGATAGCAAAATGGTTCAGATAGTACAATGAAAAACTAGTTTTTACGTAGATAAAAATAACAAATTCAGTGAATAAAGCATTATGCAATGAACATTAAATATATTAATAACACAATTAAGAATAAAAAGTACATAAACAAAAAGAAGCTAATGAACATACTACAAGCTTTGTATATAAATAACTACTCTAATGCTAAGGCTATACATATCTTCACACATGGTCAATTTAAAGAGAAGGCAGCGAAAAGTCAAAAATAAAGTTAACTACCTGAAATACAGTCACATTCTGACCACACTGTAAGTGTATTTATTTGTTAACTGTGTTTCAATACAACAATTCATATTAGTCTGATGTACATTCTGGTTTAAATACAAATTTAAATACCAAACACAGTATCTTATGAACAGTATTTTCTGGGTTTTAACCAACAAATAACAAATAGCATGATGCAAGTTGATAGCTTATACCATGTACAAGTTACTTACTTATCCTGTTTCAAATAACTTTATATTAAACAGTATCACACAAATTCATATTCAGAATTCTGGTTCAAATTAAATTACAAAATACATCATGACACAAGTTTAATCAAGTTATTAAAGGTATTACAGAAGTTGGGTTATGAACACATTGTACATATAATTTAATCTTTACCAGACTGGAGAGGTGTTACTGATATCTCCAAATTTTTTCCTTCTCACAATGGATATACTTAGTCAAATTGCATGGAACTTAGTAAAAACTAACTAAATTGTATCTAGTTCCATCTTTAAAAAACTTAAATAATTTAACTTAGTATTTCAATCATTTTTAACTTACAAAATTTCCCAAATTTTGGTGTGAGACACAGTTTTAAGAAATATTTTTGTCTTTAATAGAATTTAAATTTTTTATCGTTGATCAGAAAGTTCCATTTTATATATTCAGTCAGTTTATGCTATTGAATTACATTACCCACGAGAAACTCTGAGCTTGTTCATGTACGTGCCTTGTGAAATATTTTTATTATATTATTACTATTGTTTATTTTGCCTAATCTAACCTAAAGATATCTCTATTTTTACATTTTAGTTACTTTTATAATAATAAATAAAGAATAAACATAAACAACAAGAAATAAAGTACTTACCCGAGCATTCCCTTTTTTTTGCTCTCAACTATCGATGACAGTTAACCCTACTTTTTTTTAAAGTAATGGTAGTAGTGCATTAAATAATTAACATACAAAAAACAGACAATCTCCTCTAACAATCACAATTTTTCTGGCTTTTTAACTATGCAACAAGAGCCATTACAAATGAATCCAAGCTAGCCGTTGTGATTCCTGTAGGAACCAAACTTGTATTAGAACTGAAGTTGATGATTATCTGTTCAGAACACAACATAATATAATACATAATTTGATAGATAAAAACCTTGGCTTTCTATTGGTTATAGGTGATATATAATTAAATGTAAGAGAGAGAACTATTAACAAATCCTGAAAAAGAGGATGTGACAGGTGGGTTTGGCAGGAGGGGTCTGATTTTCTATTTGATAGCTCTGTAACTAAACAAAATTAAAGGCTATAAAAATTATGGCTTGTCTGAGCAATGATGATTTTATAGTGAGTAATTTACGTTTAATTTTGAACCTATTGGAGGGGTAGTGGATAAAATAGAGAAGAGGACATGCCGAGAGAAAATGTGTCATGTATGTCACACTAGGGGAAATTCAGGATTTTAAAAAAATATAGCCTTGTAAAGTTAAGAACTTAAAACATGAATTATTAGCTAAGGTTTTATGCTATACTAATTGGTATAACATAAACAATAAGTAGTTTAACAAAATTTTTAATGTAAGACACTAAAACCTTGTGTGATGTGTAGTAAAGGATACCTGGAGTGAAATGGTTAAATTGGAACTATATTTTACAAACTCACAATAACTTACCATAAACAGTTCCAGCACAAGTAGGTGCTATATCTAAGGGATTTGCAACAACTCCACTTAATGTTAGCTTGGTCAAACCCATGGCAACAGCCAGTGAAACAAGTGCACCTATGTAGCTACTCTGGTAACCAATGAGAATAAGGAGTAAAGATGTAGGATACAGTCCACACCCCTATAACAAAGATTCAAAGTTATATTCATTAATAGACTAATTTAAATTATTTAAAACACCAGAGGAAAAATACTAACCTTCATTTATTAATAATATGCATAATAGAATGAAATATACATGGTATTAGGTTTTATGTTCAGTTTGCTCCTTAACCCACCACAGATCATGTCATGTAATTAAGATTCAATTTTGTGCTAATGGAATGAATGGCTTTGTCTTTTCTTTAGAAATGTTAAGTGAACAATATAACATTCCTTCATTTTTTAATAATGTAAATATAACTGACAAGATTTCTAAGTCGTGTCTCAATATGATACTTGAATCAGCAAAATTGACATTCTTGGAAATGATATTAGCTACAATATATCTCTTGAACTGAAAATAAAACATCTTTCAAAGAAACCTATATCTTTTATAACCTTACAATATCCTATGTTTTTCATTTACTTAATAAACATAATTTCAAAAACATCTAAAAATTTAAGGTATATGTATAAGTATACATAAACAAAAATCACATACACATATTGATGTTTAAACTAGGATTACGCTCGAACATTTAATCATTGCATGTATCTTTTCAGCATAGATGTTTATTTCAAACATCTTAGCATACAAATGGAATTTTTGCTGACTTTCAGAAACGTAAATATGAGAAAAAGTATGCAGAATTACAGTTTTTCTAGGTATAAACATGGATTAATTTAAAATTGAGTATATAGATGCTAAAGGTTTCTTTTCTTTTTCATCACAGGTGAACTTTAAAAGAGAATCTGTGATGTAGAGGCCTAATGCATTCTTGGGTGAGCAAACCAAACAAATACCTTTATATAATGGTGAAGTGCATATAATATCTATGGGGTTTGAGTCCATTTGACTTCACCATATAGTAACCTAAATTAATTTAGGTTACTATATGGTGAAGTTAAACAGACTCTTAACCTCATAGAAATTAAATGGTGTTTTTAAACTACAAATTCCTTTACAAGGTAAGAAACAGTATAAAGGAATGATTACTCTTTTGAAACACTGTGGATTAACATTCCAAACCAGAAGCTAAGTACTTTGTCACTATTAAGTATTTCCTAAGTAATTCTACTTGAAAAAGAAAAAAAGATTATTTTTCTTATGCTTCACATCATTTAATGTCAATATAGACCAATCTTCTTTTTCTAACTAGATAAAATGGGGAATTATTTAAAAATACTGACTAGGAATCTAAAATAATATTCTTCTGGTTTGAGTTCATTCCTTGAATATATTACTACATTTATCTTTTAAAATAGAAGAGGGAAGGAAGGTTAATACTTCATGGGAATAACTGAACAAGTGTGACAAAAAGACATCCATAATACTTCTAATTAAAATATTTTAAATTTCTAAGCAACCAAAAACAGATTGAAGAAACAAGACTTTTAACTGAACTTTCATAATGTAAAAGTATTATTTTTTCACAAGAAAAAGAGCAAAAGAACAAAACTGGTTTTAAATCTATAAGATTATTACACATTTTAGTCAAAGAGATGCTATAGTATGTAAATGAAAAACATAAAGTTTGTCCATATTTAAAGAGCTCTTTCAACAAAGGTTAATCAATTTTAGAAAAAAAAGTATGGAACAAATAATATGGACATGACTGAGAGAGAATGATAAATAAAGCCTTTCTTCCAACCAGAAATAGGTATTTATTTTCTGAATGTTAAAATTTTTTTTACACTAAAAATGTATTTCCAACAGGTACTTACCTCTATACACACAAAGCTATCTCAATCTTCCTTCTGCCCTCTAAGCAATGCTAAAACATTTTCATGCTCAGCACACTAGTTTATATACCCCATCAATTTCATGCCATTTTTGAGCATGTACATATCATGTGATTACTCTCCACCAATAGTATTGTACCACCTATATTGGTGCAGCTAGTTCCCTCTGATATTCCCACTCAATTCTCACTTTTGAGAATTGTCAGGCTCTAAAAGAAGAACACTGGCAGTGGGGAGGAAGGGTGGGAAGTGTGTGAGGTAAGTACCTATTGGAAATACATTTTTAGTGTAGGAAAATGTTAACTTCTGATACAGTCTTACCTATCTCTCACAAAGCTAGAATCCCACAACTGCAAAGGTCGAGGGGCCAGTTTAGGTGTGCAACATTGAAACCAAGTGGAGAGTAACTGCCCATAATAAACGAGCATGCTCCGAGATTAAAATGAACTACACTTGTGGGGTACTGCACTACTTCTGGAACAGGTATGCTCTTCACCCTTGAAGTAGAAAATGAATCTAATCGGGTGGAATAAAGGAGGTGCACAAGTGCATTTTGTTTTGAGAGGTATAATCCATAGTAAGATTTAACTGAATTACCTATGTACATACACAACCTCAACTGGACAGACAAGGTTCCATAACTTATCCTCAGCATTAGGAGTTTGAGGTTGAGGATAAAAAAAAAGAAGATAAAAACAAATATTTTGTAACATAAACATTGTGGCTAAAGCATGTGGACAGTGTTATGTATACTCATCAACCCCACCCACAAGTAAACAATGTTGTATACCAAACAACCAGAATTACGAAGATAAAGCTAGCTTTCGGCCGAAATCGGACAAACTCCCAAAACCATTGAAGGATCAAGAGGTATAAAAAACTGAACCCAGCATTACAAGGATGTAGCATTGCCTCAACTCGACTGTAGTAACAGGGTAATATCTGTAACTGGTATTACAAGCAGAAATCATAACTCACTCAACCGTAAATGCAGGGAAGAGACATCCTGCATTTGGAATTATGAGTATGACATGGAACATTCGCTGAACTGTAGGAACAGTGTACATACATCCAGTTGTCAGTATTACAAAGCAGATGAAGTCCCCCAAACTGAACTTTAGGAGCAGGGAAAGGACCTCCTGCAACTGGAATTAACAAGAGGGGCCTCTACTGCACATAACTGTAGGAACGGTGGTGTAACCCTGAACCAAGTATTACAAGAAGGATCCCCATGCTTGTGTTTCCTACCTGCTTTAGGCATACAGGAATGTTTAGAATTTTCCATTTATCTAGTTGCTATGCAGTTTTAGCATAACCACATGCTCCAGAAAACCATTAACGTTGCCTTGTTCTAGTTTCTACATTCTCTATAGTAGATAATATCTATTTTGCCCAAGAGAATATTACAGTAAGATACCAGATTCAGGCTGAAGGGGTCACTAACTATGATATCCTTTGTGGATCAAATGACTTGTGTCTGTATGTTACATTAAGTGAATGCTGTGAGAGAAAAAATGGTCAGTAGGTGACACTGCCAACTGTCCAACAAAACCGAAATTACCTGTTGAATTCAAATACACATTCTTAGTTTAGTTCTAATAAGACATCTTCAAGTAAAGACCATATACGAGACCACACTGTTTGAGTTCTGCAAAGATCAATCCTGAGAGAGTGAAAGATGTGGGACTAAATAAACACCACCTAGTAGATAATCTGTGGTCCTGTCTGTGCAAGTGCATATGCTGTTTTCTTTTTTTGTTTGATTGTTTATTTTTTTCAAACTTGTCCAGTCTTTGCTTTCACTGGTCATTCAAGTTTTAAACAGAGATTACTCCACAAATATCCCGGCTGATGCTGCTGTTAATACCAGATCTATCCGATACTTATGTGGAAATCAGTTCACCCGAAAATATCATACTCTTGCAAATCTTTTAATCTAGATGATTAGTTTATTAAGTAAATTTACTAAGCACTTTAAAGTAATTTTTAAATATAATTACGTTTTTGAAACCTTATTAAACATTCTAGCTTGAATTATTATAACTGATTACTTACCTCAAACAACTTCCTTACTAGTGTTATGCCCCATCCTGTTAATATAGAAAAATATTAATACTGGTATGTAATGATACTTCAACTAACACTGTACAGTCAACTTAGAGAATAAAATACATAAGTGGTACCTTAAATTCATAGCTTCACATTACAGTGCCAATATGACACTAATTTTGCTATTGTACTTTGATAGATTAGAAAACTCTTAGCTCCCATTCTATGATTATATTAGTCAATGTTTTATTTTTTTGAAATGTACTATTTCAGCACTGTAAACTTTATTTCTTGATTGATTAGGTCCTTCTCACTACCAAATTGAAATACAATAAATAAAATCACACAAGTTAAATCTAACTAATAAAAGTTTCACACAAACTTCCCAATCACTTTATAAACAAGCTATAAATCAAATATTCTAACAAAACCAACTTAAAAAAAAAAGAAAGTGTATTCAAATTTATTTATTTTTTTCAAAAATATGCATTAACATCCTCAGTCTAATTCACCTTGTATTTTTGGTAATAAAAACCCATAATAATATTATTTTTAGCTGTGGCATAGTGGCTCATAGAATAGCTCTGAGTTTTTTTTGTTTTTTTTTCAAGTACAAACTTTTAGCTCATAGCTCCATCAACGTTTGACCAATTTTAAACCTAATTACAGTTTTGGACTCAGGAGGTCAAATCCTTTCAACTGATGTATTTGATCATGCCCAAGGTCTCATACATAAATTTATTCTGATCCTGCCTAAAAGAATTTCAATTTGAGGGTAAGCTGGTATAGATCCTGACGAGTAATAAAATTGAATTGGGTATACGTGCACCCCACACTTGGTATTGCTGGCACACAAAAATATAGCTAATAAAAAGAGGAAAAAATAGGCCTCATAGGTCAATTTGCTCTAATATTGCATAAAAGAATTTCAGGTGCTGCAGCTATTGAGGATTACCTTTGGTTTAATTCTGATTCTAAATTATTTGCTACACTTGTAATGTAAAGGTCTTACATAAAGATGAAAATGTTTATTACAGATTCACAAATCACACAAAAATACCACTTTAGACTTTATTAGGTTAGGAAAGTAAGTGAATTAAGAAGTGTTATGGTTTGTCAGTGAAATGAACAAATCTGCTGAAGTTATCCCTAAGACATTAAAGGAGGCTTTAATTTCCTATCATTAATCTGTGAATTCAGTCAGGACAAGCAAGACTTACTTGATAATGTAAGTATGGCAAACAACCTAATAACTAAATGGAATGGTCTGAATATGTTTTATAAAAATAAAAGGAAAATAAAAAACTGTTCTTGGCTGTAAAGTACATCACTTTGAAAGCACTGGAATATCAAAACTTTGCTTTTTTTTTTAATGAACTCCTTACTTAAAAGTCAACACCAAATACATTTTAGGTTTTTCTACCTATTTCCAAAAATGTATTCAAACTGTGAATATATGGGGTCATTGTTTTCTATGCACTTCAAATCAAAAATATTCAAATGAATCAATATATTGCTTATAAATATAAATATTTATCTATGTATGTGTGCACGTGACAACAGATTGTGACACTGAAGTAAAAATTGGAGTCATTAATATTTCTATGAATGTTAACCCTTAATTATCTCAATGTCAATGTGATCAGATAAATTTATCTACTCAAAGACTGCTTGGAATGTTTTCTATTATCTGCTGCAAGCAAATAACTAATAAAATACTAGCCATTTGTTTTTATTTTTCTGAAAGAACTACAGAATGAGCTGTAATTACTATGAAAAAAAGAAATTCTCTTCCAATTAGCAATGAAGGTGTAAAGTTTCATCTTTTATATGTTGGTACAGTCACTTTAGCTGTATACAGTTTTATCTGATTATCAGCATCTGAGATTTTTTAACAGCATTTAGTTGTAACTCATCATTCTCATTTTATATTAATGTTCAATACCCACATAACAGTAATGTTACAGAAAGAATTAAAACTAAATAACTGGCGTTTTCTTCTTAAAACTTGAAATGATGACTGTATTCAGTCTTAGTTCCTCCCGTTCCGTTGGGAACATTGGTCAGCGAGACCTCGCCATCTGCCTCTGTCATGAGCGGTCTCCACCGTTTGGTCAAATGTTAGATCCACCAGTTCCAAATCCTCTTTAAAAGTAATCAGAGCCCAAGTAAAAATCATTTTGATTTTCCGCAGCTCAATAACTGTCAAGCTTTTCATGTACTTACTCTTTTGCTTAGTTTTAAAGTTTTCATTATTTACGTGTTCAGATCAACTGATTATCATGCTTCATTTTTCAGCTCAACTACTTAACACATGTTACTTGTCTATTTCTAAAACCGATCAATATTTTTCTCTTCAGCTGAATTAATTTCTGTTCTCTTCTGTCAACTAGATTAATTACAATTCTATAGTTATTCAACTGAAGATCCTGTGTGTCTCTTCTTATTCTGTTCCAATGAATACTGTCATACTAAAATAACTATCATTCAGTTCTTGTTTTGTTCAACTACATATATGCACTTTCTTTTAATTGGTTTAACAAAATAATTACCATTTTGTCTTTGTTAAGTAATACAAATATCACACAGTTCTTGTTTTGCTGAACTAAATATACATGTTTTATTTAATTAGTTTACCAAAATAATTACCATTTTGTCTTTCTTAAGCTAATACAACTATCATACTGTTCTTGTTTTGCTCAACAAAATATATTCATTAAGGGTTTATATTTAAACTATCATTCTGTATTTGTTAAAATAAACTACCTACCATTTATGTGTTCAATTTCAATTCTTTATTGGTTTCATAAAACCAAATCATTTAATTTGTTCAATTCAATTAATGCTAATATTTTCTTTGTTCAACTTGGCTAATTTTCACTCTTCAATTGAACAACTATCATTCTTAATTGATTTAACATTACTAATTACCACAATCGACTAATTAAACACCACTATGACCTATATACTAGGAGGGTTGGGCGCGGGGCTAGCAACTCCGCCTCGTAAAAACCAACCTGCTAAAAAATTACTGCAACAACAACTTCCGTCGGCGAGGTGTTGTTGGGGCCCTATGCTCCAGTGGGAGTCGACAGGGATTATTATTATTATATGACCTATATACTATTTGCTAAACTTAAATAAAAGACTATAGTATTGGAACTGAATTACTGTAATAATTATTAGTTATTCTTTTAGAATTTAAACTCCCATTACCTTTGATAATTAGTTGCTGAGCGACCCACCCGCCTATAAGTCCAAACACTGGACAGATGATCCATGGTACTACATTGAATATCCAACCCTGAAACAAAAAGGTTTGGCAAAAACGTTTAAAAACCATTAGGAGTAAAAAAAAGAATAAATAAAAATACTTAAATTTTGTTTAAATACCACAAAATGAATCTAAGTTATTTAAGTTTCACAGCAAAGGTACCTATAATTATAACTTTCACCAATAGTTTTAAATGTTTTAAACTTAACATCTCTCATGATGAGGGGGCATTTCTATAAAAATTTTAGGGACAATGCAAAATACGTTGTAGTCAAGAGGTAGGAGATTAACCATCATTAAAAACTAAGTCTAGATTTCATAACATAAACTTCACACTTAAGGAAAAAGAAGTTAAGTAAATGAATCTTTTACAAGGAAAAATATGTAAACCGTAGAACTTTGCTTACATACTTGAGCCTCTAGTTACAACAAAATTCGGAATATTTCCTATTATAACAATGAAAAATTAACATTCAAACAAACAAAAAGAAAAAACAAATCAAGGAAAATTTCTGATTAACATTAAAAAATTACAAGTACACATACATGAAAACCAAATGAGGAATTATTATCTGACTGAAAATAAAACATTGTACTTAAAAAAATCTTGTCTTTAATACTTTATTCTTGTGTGATAGGTTTTAAACATATCTGAATAAATAAATTTTAATATTTATATTTGCTCAAATTCATAAATATTCTATAACCTATTTATAACGATTTCTTTAGTTTACTATATTAAGTAGATTTAACAAAGGTATAGTACAAACTAAAATCAAATTCTCAAGGGCATATAAAATCTTGAAATGCAATATACAAAGATTTTTGATCCACATTTGAACTGTGTTTATGTGCATGTTTTGTAACAATGTAATTTCAATAGTGTCAAGAAAGACAAATAAACCAGCTTGATGTTAAAAGTACTTATGATATGAGTTTTAAAAATGTATTTCAAATAGCAGGTATCACAACCAGCAACCATACACAGTTATGGTTTCCATATCTGGAAAAGGATGTTGACTGGTTAGAGGGACTTCAGAGGCTTCTAGGATAATTCTGGGATTATTTTGAGAAAATAAGGGTAAGAAGTGATTTTATTGAAGTTTCCAAGATTATCCATGGGATAAAAGCTTCTGATTTTTTGTGCAATATTCTGAATAGGATGAAAGGACATAAGATTTAAAAATGACCTGCTACACTTCACTTAAGACAGTTTTTATTTTTCTACACATGGTGATCAACTTATGGAATGAGTTGCCATCACAAGTAGTACAGACCAGTACCTAAATGAAGTATAAAAGGGAAGTATCCTGAAAAACAAAGGGCAAGTTTAAATTTTTACTTTTCTCAAGAGAGGGTGTACAAAAGATGGCTTTGAAGGACCAAATGATCCTTTGTTGTCTATATGTTATGTTAGCAGAATTGTCAACAATTACTACAACTGGACTGTATGACATGTATCTCAAATATCTTGATTGTTCTAATTTTAAAAATGTTACATTTTGAGCACCACTATTAAATAAAATATTAACAAAGACTGACCTTGCCACCGGGGAATACTTCACTGAAGTAAATTGGTAACCACGACATCATAATAAAGAATGTATTAGTTTCTGCAAAATGTGCAAACAACATACACCTAAAAATAGAAGTTATGAATGATGAAAATACCATTTTTGTTGAATTCAAATTGTTCTCTAAATTATAAAATTTTAGTACCTATCAAGAAGGCACTTCATAACTCTTCATTGTCACAATTAGTTTTTTGAGTGGCACATTATTATTACCACCAGGTAGATAATCTTTTACAATTTTCATGTAAGAATGCTCAGAACTTTTACAAATTCCACCTTTTATTACACATTAGATGCTTCTTATTTAAATAGAAATACAAGTATCTATAAAAACCTTTTTATCTGTTTCTGTATCAATTATCTTAAAGTTTTACAAAATTAAGTAAAATTGTACAGCCTATATTATTAACTATATATAAATACAATTACATTTTGAAAAACATTTCTATATATTGAATCAACATCAATTGAATTTTATATATGAAAATACAAACCTGTCTTTTATACTGAATAATAAACTGTGTGTGAAAAAAATGTAACTGCCCAGAAAAAAATAAAAACCAGTAACCTATTCTAACATCACATTTTCAAATTTCTTCAACATAAATGGCCATCCATTTGAGCTTGACAATGTGAGATGCTAAGTTGCTGACTACTGTCTATCTTCATTTCCCTAGTACCACGATTCGTGGAATTTAGATTAGGATAATTTTAAGCTATTTAAATGTATTTGTCAACAATATTGTAATTATACAGGTCAGAAGGGTTAGTGCAAGCTTTATAAGAATCAATACCATAACAGGTCAAAGAACATTGGATACAAATTTTCTTTGTTAATTTAGCATACTACTAATAAAAAAATCATAAAAATTTAATTTTTAGAGCTATGAATGTGAACTACAACAAGTAAGTTTATTAATTGTGATTTTGAACAAATAATCCAAAATACCTACCAAAAAGCTGGACTTTGGAATAAAATCCCCCATGGAACAGAATTTTTCATAACGGGAACTTTAGATTCTATTTCAATCTTACCATCTTCACATTCTTTTGAAGAAGATGCTTTCTTGTAAGTTAACATAATATATCGGAGTACAACTGCCCAGGTTAATCCTAACACACCTAAAATAAATTTTGATATTACACAGTAAGTCACAGGTTATTAAGCTCAGTCTTAGCACATATGGTGAAAACACTGTTAATGTTTATAGTATATAAAAGCTTAGTCAATACATATTTTCCATGTTTAAAATGGAACCACTGTAACACAAGTTATTTCATACATGCATAGTCATTATCATTTCATTACTAGTCTACATTAAACGAACTACCAAGCTTAGTCCTAACAACCCTATTAAAACTTCTCATTACCATTCTTTATCAGCCAAACTACCAAGTTTAGCCCTAACACATCTAGTAAAACTTCTCATTACTATTCTTTATTAGTCAAACTACCAAGTTTAGTCCTAACACATCTTGTAAAACGTTTCATTACTATTCTTTATTAGCCAAACTACCAAGTTTAGTCCTAACACATCTAGTAAAACTTCTCATTGCTATTCTATACTAAACTACCAGGCTTAGTCCGAAAACACTTCGCATTAATATCTTATAATGAATTAGTTGATAACCTATATGGAATGAGATGCACAGCTTAGTCCTAACACATCCATTTAAATGTGTTAATGATATTTCACAAAAGATAAGTTAAATATTCTTGATAACATTCCATTACAAACGAGTTGCCCAGCTTTGTCCTGACACACCATATAAAACAACTTGTTAATATTCTAAATTGCATAAGCCAAAAGTTAACATTTTCCTAAATTGAAGTTATTGGAAATACATTTTAAGTTTAGGAAAATGTTAAGTTCCAAAACATTCTTGCCATCTGCTGAAACTTACAGCTAGAATTCCAGATTGAGAAGGTGTAGGGGCCAGTGAGGGCATTATCCATACATAAAGCATCTGCATAGATTAGGGGTGTACCAAGATAAGAATGGTACCTGAGTGGGGGAACCACATTACATCCAGGAAAGTTATGCTCTTCACCCAGAATTTAGTATCAAGGGTGGAATGGTACATGAGTAATCATCATTATAGGCCAGCCCCAACCAGATAGCTGAGGTTTCACAAGTTGGGGTTGGAATTAAGAGGTCTTAGTCCCTATATCCCAAGTTGGTGGCTACGGCAATTGGACCACAATGTTATATATACTTCTGATTGGATCCCAACCTGTAGCCATAGTGTGATGCTTTCCAAACCACCAGAATCATGATGAGAAAGTAAGCACCACCTAAGCGAACAAACTCTCTCCTCCACCTGAAGTAGTCCAAAAGGCAACACCCCAGGCTTGGAATGACAGGATCGTGTATGCCTCACTCAACCAAATGAACAGAACTCATCCAGTCTGGAATTATGAACATTCATTCTCACTCCTCAACAAGTGGGCAAGGAGCATTTCACTTGCCCCCTGGAATTATGGAGAGGATGTGGAACACTGTGCTTAACCAAGGATCCAGGATGGGACTACTCCGCATTCAGAATTATGAGGAGATAGTGGACATCCTTCCATAAACAATATACTAAACCGATATTGATGAAAAAGAAGGGCAATGCAAACCTCAACCGGACAGCTTAGCATCAAATCTGAACCGATATTATGAGTAGGCTCCCATAGAAGCTGGTACCACTCCTACCAACATCTGGGAAAAACATCCAGGGACCTGGGTAGGAGGGCCCCCAACTTCGCCCTCTTTTCCAAGAGTGGAGGAAAACACTCGAACATTAGAGGAAAATCCTTTGTCCACCACCTCAGTGACTGGAAACTTGGTGTGGTAAGGGCTCCCTAATTCCACTAGTAGAATCTGGGGGTAGGGGGGTAATGCTCTTGGGGAGTCCTGAGGAACAGTTCTCTGGAAACAGTGCAATAGGTGAACCAAGTTCCCTAAATTTGTAAAAGCAAACCGACCCTGATTTATTCAATCTGATGATCGGCAGGGACGGGCATGATCCCCTTTAGCTTTACTCATGATTGTCCATCATTGGCGGTCCACCATACTATGGTAATACCATCTGGTGAGCTCCTAGATGGCCTCATGGAACACATCATTTCTACAGAGCCTGTTGCAAACAGTAGTAAGTATGGTTAAATTGGTTGCTAGTGCAGAATTGGATTGATAAGAACACACCTGTCTGGGCAACACTCACCATAGAGTGGGATCCAGTGAAAAGAAAGAGGTAAGGGACCCTGGAAAGTAAAGAGACAAGAGGAGGAAAAATATACTAACTCTTCCTTATAATTAAGCAGATTTTGTGAAAATGGCCTCAAGAGGTAGTCAAAAAACTCTAAGAAGAAGAAGCTGCCAGATCATGTAAGAATGTGAGAGGAAAGTATTGGGAGAAGGCCACATACCAGCCCATACGATGTCCTTCAGTGGGTAATTCATATGGCAGCTAAAGACATAGAAATGTGACAAATCTGATGAGATGTGACACTCAGAAGTTTCATTACCTGTAAATAAAGACCAGAATAAGCAATATAGATTAATTTGTGAAGCCACCTTGTCAAAGTAATTAGGGATAAATCTCGGGAAATTGAAGGATCCCAATGAACAAAGAGTCAAGTTCCATCATCACGAAAGGAGTTAGTGTGAGCCACATAACACATCAGGGCTCTGACAGGACATAACAAATTATTAGTCACAGAAGTGAGAAATAGTTGGCAAAAGAATTAGTGAGAAGTATTTTTTCCCTTTCCTGGTTGCCAGAGTCTTAGAAAGAAAGGACCTATCAGGGTACAGCAAGACAAAAGTGTAGTGATAAACAGATCTGTGCACATGTAGTGCAAACAACTCCGACCTATGACATCCACATGTCAGCAGCAATAAAGAGTATCCTTTGAGGGAAAGGTGATACATGATACATGACACTAAAGGCTCAACTGGATATCGAGACAAGGAATTTAATACAACCCTAATATCCCAGTTGGGTAAGTGAAAAGATCATTTGGGAAGAAGGACTCTAAAGGATTGGAGAAAGCTGGATAGCACTGGGGAGTAGAAAAAAGTAGTTGATAATGCTGCCTTATATAAAGTAACAATAGATGAAGCTAGACCTGAGTCAAAAACCAGGTTGAAAAACAAGATATGGTGGGCACATTTGGGTGACATGGGTTCAATTTCCTCATGAGACATATACAAGGCAACTTTACAAGTTAAACTTGAGGTTACCTGACAGAGATAACCAAACAGGAAGAGGTGGACCCTCTTGAAGATACTGTAGAAGAGGAAACCATGTTTGGGCTGGCCAATCTGGGGCTACCAACAGCTCTCAAGTAGAGAATCAGAGCCAGAACTCTGGGTAACAGACAAATTGGGGGAAAGGCATAGAGGTGCAACCCCATCCAATCTTGACTGAATGTATCTATTGACAGAGCCAGAGGATGAGGTTCCAGGGACCAAAACATCTTTAGTTGAGAGTTTCAATGAGTGGCAGATGTGTTGATCATCACAGTCCAGAACTGAGAGTAAATCCACCAGAAAACCTTGCAATGGAGAATCCATTCAGTCGGAAGAATTGGAATGGTTCAAGACAGGTGATATGTTATGAAATTCATCACCCCTGGAACATGGTAAGCCAGAAGGCTGATAAGATGGGAGTGAGCCAAGTAGAAAATATCCAAAGTTAAAAACCAAGGTCCTGAGAACAGGTACCCCCAGGATAGGAAATGTAAGAGACCACTGTGGAATTGACAGAATGAATCATGATGATTTTCCCCTGCAATAGATCTAGACCTTGAACCATTGCCTGTTAGACATCAAGAAGTTCTAAGTTATTGATGTGAAATTCCTGACCTTCATATACGCACCCCATCCCTGAAGCAAGTTATCTGTGAAACTCAGGATGAGGGCGCAGTACAGGAACACCAATGGCAGTGTTAATCCCATCCAACCATCACTTGAGAACTAAGATGCTACACCTGATGAAAGAGACTAGATGATCCAGTGGATCGAAATTCCTGATCCACTGGTCACTCAGTGATAACTGAAGGGACCGTGTATGTGTGCTCATCCGAAAGAAATCAGAGAATCAAGGGATGCCCACATCCCCAAAGGAGATAAAACCATCCACGTAAGTAAGAGTCCGACTGCCCATTCCATAGCCTGGAGTCGGATGAGAGTTGGCTGAGCTTGCCTTAAAATATGTTGAAAAAGACAGCCAGATGGACAATATTGTAAGTCAGCAAGAGAATGGATTTCTGATAAGAAAGCCAGTCTTGGTGACTTCTGAAAGGAGAATCTGGGTGTGTTTTTTTAGCCAACTGACAAGATGTTGCTAGAACTAACCAGTCATCCAGAGAATGGAGTGTGCACAAGCCCAAAGTATTAAGGTGACAAGAAAAACTTGAACGACTCTGTAGAAGTAGGGCCAAAGGGTAGATTCCTGAACTGCAGAATCTGACCCCTGTGCACAAAACGTAGATAATGGCAGAATTACTTCGCGATGGAGATATGCATCAGCAACATCAAACCTGGTCATCATCCATAGACCTGGTGAAGAATGCCAACATAGATTAAGAAAAGACCCCATCTAAGAATTGGCTGAGATGAGAAAGGTCAATGATTGGCCGACAAACTCCAGTCTTCTTGGGCACAACAAATAAATGGGAATAAAATCCTGGAAGAATGGGATTGACTCTCTCTAACACCACCTTGACTGATAGCCTTGGAACAAAGATCCAAACTCCATGGATTTGTTTGAGGTAGAAATACTACAGGTAGGGAGGATAATGAAGGTGGAGAAGTTAACTGAATGATCAACACCAATGCCAGAACCTGAGGTACCCGTGGATCTGTGGTGAAGGAAATCCAGGTGTCCTTCAATTGTTGTAACCTCACTCCTACAGACCCCACCCACATATGGTAGTCACTGAAGCCTTTGGCAACGGTCTGCCCGAGTGGAGGAGCCTTGAAACTAAGCACAGAATATATTCTGAGTATACACAGAGCTAGGAACAGAAACTGGGGGGTCTGGACACCCAACAAGCAGTTGTGCCATGACTTCCAGCAGGAGCCAAAGAAAGCCTAGAGGCCAACAACAACAAGGAAAAAGCAAACGGGTGACATCAATTTATGATGCCAATGCCTCTGGGATGCCCGCAAACATCAAGGGATGAAGAAAAGAAGCCTCATATAACTCATGGAGAGCTACAGCAGGTAGACAAGCTCCCTCCAACAAGGCATTTCTATCCAATAAATCCCAACAACATGCAAGCCAGGAAACCAAAGAAATAGTAGAAGCTGACAATCTTACCAAGGTAGAAGTCATCAAAAGACTCAAGTCTTCCTCAACTTGATGTGAGGGCCATTGATAGGCTTCCAACAAAGTTTGTTGGGGGGGGGGGGGGGGGGGGGG